ACAACTTAATGGAAATTCATTAGCATGTGGTCAAATTTGTTCCCTTTCATGTAAGGCGTCCTTTAGTGTCCATTTTTAGTACAAATGAAAGAATCCAGGAAAAAGTCACAAGGAAAAAAGTCAAAGAAAAACCTAACCCAATCTTACCTAACCTAATTTAACCTGCGACGCAATTTAGGAAAGCTGTAAGCTGATCTGTTTATCATCTCCGTAGACAAGAGGTAGACAGTACTGAACAACATTTGACTAGCAGATTCACTCACTGTAATAAGGGGAGCGATTTTAACGACCAAAACGAAAATAAACGAGAAATTGGAATCTGGAATGGAAACAAAATATTTTTTCATCCGCTGTAAATACAAATTGATAATTAGGTCTAGTTCTTCAAAACCAACACGGAATATTTGTAAACTATTAATTCCATCGTTACTATGTTGAGCACTGGGAAGTGTAAATATCCCGGTAGACTGCATACTATAGGAGCACCGAATTACCACACGTGTTATAATACATTTGTAGGCTGTATCATGTATAGAAGGCACAAGCTCATTTAGATTAACCAGTAACTCTGGCCCATAGAGTGAACAACCATTATTAACACAAACGACCACCTTCATAAACATTGTTCCAGTGGTGGAGATCTTAATCCGCCAGCTGGGATCCAATCGAAACTTTCGACCCCACCTGGCTATGGCCGTGGGTAGTGGGGCCACAGTGTGATGAGGGGATAGAAAAGAAAAGTCTGTGTAAGGTTCCCTGGACAAATAAATGAATAAACAGTACGGAGAATGAGGTGGGACAGTGTCGTGTATTACCCACTGTACTGTTTAATAATATGAATGTCAGAAGGATTTGTAAGGCAGGTGTTTGATGGCTGGGAAGAGTGAGAAGTTATTAAGGTTAAAGAAAGGTAGAACGAGGCACAGAGTGGTTGCCTTGCCTTAGCCATCCACAATGACCTGTTAATTTGTTTTTATTCATTGCGCTAATCCAAATCTGAAATCTGATAGCACTAATCAAAGACTGAAATGTGAGTTAATGATGATAACAAAAGGCTAGGTTAGGTTAGGTTAGCATTGGGTGTTTAATCATGAGGTGAAATAAGCGGAGGCTCCTAACCTTCATGAGATCCAATTAATGAGTTATTATCGTCAATCCATAAACCTCAGGTGTTAGTGCGCTGAAGACAAGAGAAACACTGGGGACACCTTGTTTGACACCAATGATCCTGTTTCGACCTCACTAGCCCAGACGGCGGCCAGTAAACTAGGTCAAAGCAGACATGTAGAAGGTTGGGTCAGCTTACCCTCTGACCTGACTACCGACTGCTGCGGTGCTTTTTAAAGATTAGTAGGGTCATTACCTAATACCCGACCATTGTGGACTTGATCTCACCCTCCTCTGAAGATGTCTTGAATAAAGACGAAAGCTAAGGTGCTCCGTTGTTTTCCTTTTCCCGTGTGATTTTATCAAGATATATATATATATATATATATATATATATATATATATATATATATATATATATATATACCTTATTTTGTACTTCTCCTTAGTCTGTACTCACCCCTGAAGATGTGAATTACACGAAAACGCTTGGGAACTTCGTGTTTTCTTCTTTCCTTGTGGTTATCAGCATATACCTGGATTACGCGCACCCACAGTGTATTTATATATATATATATGTATATATATATATATATATATATATATATATATATATATATATATATATATATATATATATATATATATATATAATTTTTTAAGGGGATTAGCCCTCCCGCGCACAGGTCAGATCAGCAACCTGGGACTTTGTCATAATTTTTGTGATGCCAAGTGGCAGCAGGGTCTAACATAGACAACAACATTATGCTTCCAATATCTTCCCAGACGGGAGTACTTCCATATTTGATAGCTGCGGTAGACTGCATACTTAACAGTTAACCTATACAATGAAACAGCCAAGATATGTATTATAGCATTTAGGATTATTCTATCTTTGTGGAAGTCCATAGGTCAAACTTAGCGGTTAATCCACATAAGAACATAAGAAAATAAGGAGTCTGCAATAGGCCGGTTGGCCTGTGCATGGCAGCTCCTGTCGAGAGTTACTACCACTCTCTATCATTCATGAATCTATCTAGCTTCCTTTTGAAACTTTCCAGAGTTCCCGCACTTACTACAAAGTTGTTAAGCTTGTTCCACCCCTCCACCACCCTATTTGTGAACCAGTTTCTTCCTATCGCCCTCCTAAACCTAAACTTATCCAACTTGAATCCGTTGCTCCGAGTCCTATCCTGCTTGGATATTATAAGAACTTTATCTATATCCCCTTTATTGATTCCTTTCACCCACTTAAATACTTCTATCATATCTTCCCGCACTCTTCGACAAAGCTTAGCTATACCATCTTTGGATAGGGTGTGCATAGTGGTTGTGGCTGTACCGTACATACGCAGTACATAACAGTTCAGTGCAAGGTGTGTGAGGGGTAAGAGCCAGGTGAAAGGGGTAAATTATCACTTTCGGGCAAAATTAATCTGAAATCTGCCCCTCGTCCTGATAACATCCCGAACACTCACCAATCAACACTAACACTTGCTGCCCTCTAACACTGCTCATATCTACAGTATATCTGCCCTTTTGCCCCCCCCCCCCCAGATGTCGATCATCTGACGTGTATGGGAGGTGATTACAGGGGCCAGAGACTAGTGCGGTGACCTGATGTTTCCTACTTCAACACCGGTCCTTGTGGCTCCATGCGTTTAGGCACCGGTTGTGGTCGCTGCGTTTTAAATTTGTGCACTGATAGTTTGTGTGATAAATTTTTGACAGGATATGTTAACGTCGGGAGAAATTTGAGATCAAGTTCACACTGTGTGTGTGTGTGTGTGTAGATATTTGTTTGTTATGTAGAGTACATATAAACAATATATACGTGCATATATACATATAAATAGATAGATACATAGACAGTTGTTATGGTAGTGTAGCTGTGGGCGGATCAATGTCAATGGGTTTGAGCGTTTACAAGCGGCCGCTTAACGTGGGTACGTATTCTTGGAGAAGCACTCAGGTTCACCGGCCCGGCCTCTCCTCACACCACTACAACCACAGTGGTGAATTATATGTTCCTCTAACATTATAATGATGACTTTTATATGGAGTTGTGAAATAACATGCGTCGACAAACCTATAAAAAGAAAATTAAAATTAACTGAATGTGTACAATAGAAGCATAAATGAAGAATACAGTTGCTGCTGGAAACAACATTGTGTTTTCTCTCTACTGAAAATTTTTTTTAAGCTCTTGTTAAAGCAGACATGTATACATCTCTGGCACTGTTGGTATAACTGTTACACATATTTCCAGAAATAGGAATGTTGTGTTCTGAGTAAGGTTTTAGGTATTAACGCTGATGAAAAATATATTTCGACAATACAGCATGCTACTCTCAGGCCTATTGTTATCAAGACTGCCAGAAATATCTGTTTCTTTAGAATCATGTTATCATACCCACGATAAGTTCTGACCGATTACTACAGTACCTATTAGGAATCTTCCAAAGGTCAGAATTATTTGTATTACCAACACAGCTTTCATCCATAGCCTTCCACACCATGTCATCTTTGATAATAAAAGTATATTGTACTATTCCAAATGTTACTAAATGTTACAGAATAATTCCTTGAGATAAATGTATAGTATATATCAGATGCCTACAGGAGAGCTCAGGCTCTCAACTGGCTGAGCCATGTTAATATTGTTATTATTATCCACTCTGTATCTGTTTTTTCTGGCTAAATAAACTGTTTCAATTCAATTCAATTATGTCTAGGAATTATTTGAGAACATGTATTGCATTAATATGTTTTCGATTCATTAAAACTCAGTTATTAGTTTCAAGATGTTAGTCGAAGTTTAAGTAATAAGTCAACGGTAGCGTTTCAGTCGATGATGTGTGATAGTCCAGGTGGGTACGGTACATGCAGCTCCAGGGAGAAGCATCAACCGTATTACCACAACCAAAAGGGATCCAAATGCAATACGAGAGGATGAATGGTATATCATACTTGATTTAGAATCTGCCGCTTTCACCCTCATGCCATATGACAACAATGGCGAAAATCAGATAAATGTAGCAAGGTAACTCGCTACTCAGCACTTGTAAGGTTGCTGGGCAGGCAGGCTGCCAGAACTCTTCACCTTCCTCATTTGGTAAATCATGTGATGGGTGACACTATTGTCATTACGTTAGGGTGTTTAAACTTACTTTTTGTCTGCATTATATAACTATGTAATTTTAATACTAATACAGTTGGTAAAGCAGAGACACGCCCATTTGTCGTACATCTGGATTCCCTATGGTTAAAATCGATATTGGTGGGGAACCCCCTCATATTTTGCCTGTACAGACGGTGCTTGTCTGCAAACATTATACACAATGAAAGAAAAATGGTGAAATAATGTAGCTACAAGGTTTTCCGTGAAGGAAGTGCTTAGAAGCTGGATTATTTGATGAGCAATGAATTTTTATTATTTTTTAAAGTAATCTTCCTAATACGGAGGACGGGGGGAGAAAGAGTTAATCGTAATTATATTCAAACAATATTACATATCTGCTTATTATTATCTAAATAATAATTATAACACTTTTATGATACTGTATTACTGATTACTTAAATTCAATCAATGAAGATACTAAGTTTTCATAGAAGTTATTCTAAAATGGCGAACAATATTTTTTCCTTAATATGTAAACATACAATATTTCGGGGTATCTCTTTTTTGTTATATTGATGGGTTTTCAAAATGGAATTGTGAACCCGTATAAGCTAAAAGTCTATGAGAAAGCGAACACAGTACAATACATTTTTAACCAATGAAAATTCTTGTAAGAGGAAGAGTTTTAGATTTACCAATAGTATAGAGTGTTGTGTACCGTTTAGGATTATACCGACCAATCAGCGTGCGTCTGGACCGAGGTGTATTTGCGGCTCCCTCGTGCCATGTTGGCTGGAAGAGCAAGAGCCGAGTGAAGGAAACATCAGGGAAGGGGTATCACCCAATTAACCACCCATTTTCCATCTATACCATCATGGCGGACCCGGAGACACAAACACAGCCTGAAGAACAACCTAAGGCACCTGTTAAGGAAAAAGAAGTCCTTGGTAAGTGCGCAGGAGTAAAGTGAGATGAGTAAATAAGTATTAACCGAGATGGGGTTGGCGTACCGGCAGCCATGACGAGCGTGCTGAGCACGTGGTGTGTTGACCCCACCTGAGACACCATCCTTCATCTTTCTCTTACGGTGTTGTATTGAGAAGAACCGCTAATGTTGAAGGACTGTTTTATCTTGTTGTGGAACTTGCGAGTAGATGTGAGTGATAGAAATAAAAAGACTTTCGTGAGATGTCAGCTCAATGGGCGTAAGGTAACGTGGCGAGCAAGTGACCATGACCATTAATATCAGTGTGTTGTGTATTCTCCCAAAGTCGTAACAACCTCTTAAAAATTGGTTCAGTGTATTTGTGTAAACCTGAAGGATTATGTAAGTTAACTTATTGTGACTTGTATTTGCATTTTAAAATTAAGATTTTTGGTTTATAAAATGTCGGAGCTAACGTACGTCAGTAACCATCTTATTCTTTCACTGAGCAGTTATTCCTATTTACAAGTTTGTTACATTGGATGCCATTAGTGAGTGAAGTTTTTAATAGATTGATGAATGATGTATAGAGGGCCTACCATTCATGCCTGATATATTGATTTTAACTTAGGTTTATTGCTTATGTTTTGTAATGATTTAGGTTTTGGAAATATACTAGATTCAAGTTACAGTACTTTGAATCATGATTGATATGCTAGTAAGAGTATTAGACCATTGTTTAAATCGTGTTGAAGATGCATTTGCCTGTCAAATCATTTTGACCTTTTAAAGGGAATTGCGGCCGGTCTGTTGACCCATGCTTGACAGCACACTTTACACCCAACCCATATTACTCATAACTGCATTAATGAGAATCAAAATCCGCAGTTTGGACACTAAAACTGAACTCTTTAATCAAATCATAGTGGATATAGGTACGGTAGTTATATTGACACCTTTGCTAATGGTTAGGTTATTCAGAAAGGCCTTCTTGGTAACTCATTGTGTAGTCCGTAACATTGCTTTTAATTGCCCCCATCTTTTTTTAAATATACCTTTCGTGTAGTTAAGACTATTTTAAAATTTCTGGTAAAGGTGCAGATAATGGCTACCACCAGAAGTTTTGTTGAATCTTTATTGTTTTGAATTTATGTATAAAAAGAAACGACAACTTTCTATTATGATTTTAAGTTTATAATTTTTATTTACTCGATCCTGCTTCACAATTCTACTCCGGCACCATTTTTGTTGTTTATCTCGCTGAATCCCTCTTCCAGAGACGTTTCCTATAAATGATGAACGCACCCACGAATTCCTTGCCATTGCTGATGCATATCAACTTCAATGTTTAAGATAAGTTTAACACAAATTAGCACGATAATGCATAGAACCTGACCTAATATACCCAACCTTTGGGTATTTTAGGTCATGTTCTATGCATTATCGTTAAAATTTTTGTTTCATATATTAGTGTGTAGGAAAAATGTTCAACCAATTCGGACAATTCCTTCTGGTGGTAGCCGTTATCTACACCTTTACCAAACTTATGATATTTACGTAGGAATTTTTATTTATTTTTAGTATTTTATCCGATAAAATCACAAATATAAAAACTTTGGAAATCAAAGCACATGCACAGTAAAATTGCATTATTAGGAACTTAGCTGGTCAAGGCAGAATATCCACTACCCTCTTATTACCTCCAAATTCTCTTAAATGGAATTCTCTGTTGATAACCTGTTGTTTCCATTCTTCGCCCTTAGAGCTTGACATTTCCCACATTAAATTGCATTTGCCTTTTTTGGTCCACTAAAAAGTTTGGTAAGATTTTGTTTTGGTCATCCCTGTATTTAGATATCCAAACTAACCTAATTGACTCCCCAGAAGACCAAAACGAATGCCAAAAGTTTTTCTATGTTTTCCTGCAATTATTTTTGGTAATCTTCATCTGCTTTAGTTAAATGCCCTATTTTTGTCAGAAGATTTACCTTTCATTAATGTACACAGTATAATAGTAATGTCTGGGTACTGAGCCAGGGGGGTACATCACTTGTGGTGTTACCCCAATTAATTTTACACGCACACACTTGATAATTTTCCTTCCAATGCGATATGCCTCTATATTCCTTACTGAGCACCTTTGACCTTGTAGCTATTTAATACAGTAGAAGATTGCATAGCAGGGTACACGGTCAAAGTGTATAATACAGCGATTATTATTGACTACTGTAAATCTAGACCTTTGATTTAATTTTTAGTTTTAGTATTTTATTACAGTACTATATTTTTACCCAGTAGTTTCATAGTTTCCTGTCCAATTCTGCTGGATAAATTTTTCGTTATGGTTATTTTGCCGTGATTGGCTCAGTACTGTACTTTGTTTAATATAACGGGGGGGGGGGGGTAGTTGTGGTTGACCCACACAGGCATGGAAAATGGCTGTAAAGTGAGGATGAGGAATTTGGTCATTGATTAGCCTTACAACTTTTGACTGTTCTTCAAATTTGAAGCTAATGGAGACATTAAGCATTACTTTTACAAGTTTAAACACTTGGTACCAACTGGACATTTACACTTAGTTAATTGTAGTTGTGGTTGACCCACACAGGCATGGAAAATGGCTGTAAAGTGAGGATGAGGAATTTGGTCATTGATTAGCCTTACAACTTTTGACTGTTCTTCAAATTTGAAGCTAATGGAGACATTAAGCATTACTTTTACAAGTTTAAACACTTGGTACCAACTGGACATTTACACTTAGTTAATTAAATACAGTACTGGGGAGATAATGCTAAGAAATTATCCAGGAGAAAAGGGTTTGATTATCTTGATCTTTACCAGACTTGCACTTGTTTTGTGGATAGTGGAGGATCTTATGAAAGATGTCTGAATGAGCGTAATAGAAGTTTCATATGCTACCTTAGAATAGGTTTGTTTCCTGTTCGACAAATAAAAATGAGTTGAGGTAAAATTAAAATGCTCTTGCATTATGAATTTGTACAGAGTTGCAAAATCGGGAAAGAATTTACAATGGCAAATTGGATTTATTTTTTAAAGGACGGTTTAGGAATTACACATGCTACTAAATTAATAAAAAGAAATTGTACAGACAAGTCTCATCACTTGTCTTGATGGCCAAGAATTATATGAATCTCTTAACCTAACAAGGTGAGAGTAATAAATGCAATTTCTCAGTCTGAGATGTAACGAGATTTGTTCATATGATGAGGCACTGTTTTTTTAGGTATGGAAAGAGTACAGATATAAAGGCAGTGTACACTGGGTAAAAAAAAAAATCTTGCTAACAAATTGGCAACATTTAAAGTTTTTGACAAAGGCCCATGAGGCATACTGTTATTTACCAATCCTATTGCAATGAACTAATTTTGTTTTAAATGCAATAACTAAATTTGGCTTTCCATAATGTGTAGGAAATATCTCGCCAACCCTAGCAAGAAGAATTTCTTTGAACCCCTCCTGATAGATATTTTTTTATCAAAGTGTATGCATTTAAACAAGTGAATGAAGTGAAAAACATTCGATGATATAGTTTAGAAAATTAAGTTCATTGGGGACAATTATAGGTACGTTACCCGATTGTTTAAGGCATAATAAATTGGAAAGGGTGACACATCTAAGGGATCTGGTAGCTTGTGGTGTACAGTATAACAATTAAGCAACCCTCTTTCACATCAATGGGCTGCAAGCTTGAATTTATGCAATTGCACTAATGATAAATCGGCATGCCTGTTTATATATGTATATATACTGTATATATATATATATATATATATATATATATATATATATATATATGTGTGGGCCGTGGGTTCGAATCCTGGTGGGTTGAGGTGTTGATTGTATGTAGAAGTCCTCGTGTTTATTGGGCTAATGAAATATATATATGTATGTATATATATGTATGTATATATATATATATATGTATATATATATATGTATATATATATGTATATATATATATATGTATATATATATGTATATATATATATATTTATGTATATATATATATGTATATATATATATATATATATATATGTAGTAGTGCGCGTGATCTAGGTATATGCTGATAACCATATATATATATATTTATATATATATATATATATAATGTGTGTATGTGGGCCATTTGTTGTCCACTATTTGATGGAGTGTAAATTCTTTTTGCTCTAAGGAGAAAGCAGGGTATTAATCTGGGTTTGCATATGAATTTTCTTTAAGTTTTCTATGCCATATCAAAGTCAGCAAGTGAGTCTTTTGCTCCTCTTGTGTTAATGATATGGTAGATAAATGCTTCAGGAGCTTCCTGTGCTGATTGTCGTTCTGACGGTCTTGCAGAAAAGAGCTTATGTTGCAGGTTTCCAAGAGTTGATGCCTTAAGTGTTTTATGGTGTCTTAGTGAGGAAACATACAAAATTATAACTGTAGGGGGTCCCCGGTTTACAAACAAGTTCCGTTCCCGAGGATGTTCTTAAGTCGGAGCCATGCTATGTGCATACTGTACTTACAGAACAGTGTTTAAAATCCCACTATGTCATAGCTTGAGTCCATATATACATCTAAAAATCACCTAATTTAAGACAAAATAAGAATGACAATGTGGTAAATGAAAGTAAAATAAGTCATCAGGTAAATAAAGTATTGTAAATCTCAAGTTTAATCCCATGTGTATCGGTGGTAGTTTGTAAGTCGGACGTTCGTAAGTCGGGGACAGTACAGTATTACCAAAAGTTACGACACAGTTGTTCACGAGACATTAACAGTGGACACCTGATATTCATGTATTCTGGATTTATGATTTAATGTATTTACCAACTTTCAATTTGACCTTAGAAATATGGAGAATGTGACAAGTTCATTGTGACAGATATGTGAGCTTACTACTGGTCTCGGTCGCTTGTGACTTCGGTCTTGATCTAGTTGTTACTAACATGGCTTCTGGTCCCCTCCTTCCTTCCCTTTTTGGGGAAGGAAGGATACTAATCAAAATGTACATAAAATATATAACTGGGTATTGTCCACACACCCACACCAAAAAAAATTCATTGTTGCCAGTGTTTTTTTAAGCATGCCCCATCTTCATTCAGTCTTCACTATATCAAATTAGAATGTCCTCTGGGCATAACACCCAGGGGCAAGATGGTTATTGCCTCAGCACATTAAAATTTTTGTGTAGTATACTCCACAAAGCACTATGCAGCTAAACTGTCTTGGTCTTTTTGTTTTGTAGCACACATGGCAGGTAATCTGGGCATGAGGATGTCCAGGAGCATTTGGGATTTGCCTTGGATAATGTCTCGATGTAGTCTGCTTCATGTAAACATTCGGTTGCATTGGCAATAAGACATCCTGTAAAACTGTCAGTGCTGTATTTCCCTAATATTTGGCTGGCCAAGTTCACACTACAGGTACATGTACTTTGGGCAATCTTTTTCTAAGTATTCTTTGTACAACACAGGAATTGAGTTGAACCATATAGAGTAGATGGAAAATTTTTTTTTTTATCCATATCAGACGCCTAGAACCGGTTGTGCCTATCTGTGCGTCTAACTTCATGATACTTTGGTTTGTGCAATGGTTTACTTTTCCTGAGTCTCGGCTCTCCTTGTGTGAAATGTCAATAGGTGCACTTCACGTTTATTAGTCTACCTGAGGGCCAACACTTGGGGATGCTTCTTTATGATAATGCCAAGTTTTTTTGTTGGGGTACCAAATTTGGGTGTGCTTCTGGTTAGCCATGACTGTTCCTTATGATCCAGTGTTGTGATTTTGGAGGTAAATACAGTGAAGGTGAAGTGTACCACCTGTCAGTGTAAAGCAGGTGGCCCTTAATTTGATACTGGCAACAGGTCATTTTCTCCACTACAGAGCTGGAAATGCCAAGAGGGTCATTGGCAGGAATGTCAATGTTAGTTCTCGTGTACAGTACACATTTGTGTCCATGACCATGCTGCTTTTGCAATCCCAAAATAAACTTGATGCCAAATCTATGCTTCTTGCAAGGTATGTATTGCTTGAACACTTAATGGCCACAAAAGGGCATAAGGGACTCCACAAGCTTCTGGCTTGGTTTGCACAAAATTCAAAATTCATTCACGACTTCCCTGATCTTGTACAGTCTACCAGTGCCTGGCGGAGGGGATTGTTCAATGTCTGCAAAGTGTAAAATCTGAGGAATGTGTCGCAAGGCATATACAGTACCTGGAGAAAAGAAGTTAACAATTGGATTTTGTAACAATCTTTCAGAGAATTTTTCATGTATTGGCAGTCTAAAAACACATCTTAACAGTTGCCATGCCACTTGTGAGACTTGGCATGGGGACTGACAGCTTTGTCACATATCTCATGTATTCTATGAAAAAATATAATTTACTAATTTCTTCTGATGCCAACACAACCACCACAGTTCATATCAAAATTGTTGTCATTAGGGTTAAAATCATGTCAGTCCACACAAAAGGTTCAGGTAGTGAGTGAAGTGCTTTGGCTTGGCATACCCCAGGCCTCCCACCCACCTATGCCTGTTGGCTGGGGGGGGGGGGTGTTAAAGGGTGTCAACCTCACTGCTTCTATCACTATAATCTCTTGTTTGGCATCACTTGCAGTGAATTCATCAATACCATCGTTATCGATGTCACTCGCTTATCACAACACCACACCTACCGTAATATGTTCATGGTGTGGTTGGGAGAATGGAAGGTAAAGCTTCACCCATGTCACTGACTTTTGGGTCACTCACTGTCTGGGCCTGTCGCTATCGTGTATAGTCAATGACTGCCCTTGGCAGCATCGATTGCTGCAAGAGTTTCCTAAGCCTTTTGTGGGTTGAGGGATTTCAAGCACTTGGAAGAAATGGGCGCTGCTAGTGGAAGGTTGTGGGCCCATCTCTCAATTGCTATGAATGAACTCCCATTGGTTCTTGGGAGCATCAAAGCATCTTTTGGGTTCAAATAAGTCACACTGCTTCCATACATCATGAGCTACTTATACAATGTGGTCAACAGTCGAGCCTCGCCCTTCATTACCCCATCCATCAAGCACAAAGATTAGACTTGCTCCTGGTTGGCCCTTGTGGCCTCCTGGCAGCTATTATGGGATGTGATCAGGCAGAAAGTCACACAACGTTATATCATATCCTGCCAATATTGTTCAAACTGATGGCGCAATAATTGATGAATCATTTGATGCCATGAGTGCTGGGTCATTAGCCATACATGTCATCATTTATGCCATGAGTGTGCTGGGTCAATAGTCATCCATGGCATCATTTGTTGCCATGGGTGCTGGGTCATTAGCCATCCTCGTCATCGTTTGATGCCATGAGTGTGCTGGGTTATTAGTCATCCATGGCATCATTTCATGCCAAGATTGTGGAATGGGTTAAATGTGTATTTTCCTCCTTGTTTCAATTGCACAAGAACTTTAACCCCTCTTCTTTATTGAACTAAGTTTTCGGCATTTGCGGTGTTTTTCAAGAACCTCTTCCCATATGAATATCAATGGTCTACTGTACCCTGGTAAATTTCATACACAAGATTTCCTTTGTTTACAGAATGTAAAGTTTTTAATGTTTTATCCATCTATATGATACTCTACAGCAGGGGTTCTTAACCTGGGGTCCATGGATGGGCTTCAGGGGGTCTGTGAAGGTCAGATAAAAATTTAGCATTTATTTTCACTATACTTTGTGCATGTCATACACTGAGGCAATGAATTTTCAATAAAATAAAGTATATTCTTTGCATGCAAAGTCGAGTTTGTGCTTATGTGCATTTTTCTAGGGAGGGGGTCCATAGCTTTCACTAGATTCTCAAAGGGGTCCGTGACTCAAAAAAGGTTAAGAACCACTGCTCTACAGTCTAATATGCTCATACATTACTGTAGTTGGGTATGTGAGGTTTAGTGGTTTAATTTAGATATATTTACTGTATACTGTACCAATATAATTTTGAAGGGGTACTTCCTTACCAAATTTCCTTAAAATTTAATGTATATGTTATTTGCAGCCACCAAGGTAACCGGCACTGTGAAATGGTTCAACGTGAAGAGTGGCTATGGCTTCATCAACCGGCATGACACCAAGGAGGACGTGTTTGTCCACCAGTCGGCCATTATCAAAAACAATCCACGCAAATATGTGCGGTCGGTAGGCGACGGCGAAGAAGTGGAGTTTGACGTCGTGGTTGGCGAGAAAGGCAATGAGGCAGCCAATGTGACTGGTCCTGGTGGAGACGCAGTTAAGGTTAGATGTGAATTTAATGGGCGACATTTTTTTTTTTTTTTTTATAACCCTTCATTGCTTTTCTTGTTCTTGGATTGCCCTAAGCTTTGACCTTAGCTCTGTAGTATGAACCCAAGTATTTTTTGTTACAGCTGGAATTGGTTTGGGTGAAACTTCTTACAACTTCCCATGCCCATAACTGAATTGTAAATATTCAAGGGGAATACCCGTATGCAAACCTTTGGAATAAAAAGGTGTATAATTCAAAATTTTAAATCATTCTACTGAACATCTCAGCCTGAAAGGATTTGATATAATACATTGGATTAAAAATTTAACCTTTCATATGGTTCGAATAACTTCCTAAATTTCATAAATATATTGGTTTAACTCAATGAAGCAGTTGGAGTATTTTAGTGCTGCTCAGAGTCTTCAGTGTTTTTTGTGCCCTATATTGTAATTATCAGCAGCATGTGATAGAATCTTGTAGGCAAAAACGTCCACATTGGGATTCTGAGCATACCTATTGATTAAAGTTACCAGCTAATGGGGGAAATTGGTTGTAAGTACTTTACAAGTTGAATTTAGTAACAGATGGGGAGAATATGTTCCGGGTGCAAGAAATGGTGAATCGGGCTGTAAGAAACCCTAAGTTCGGTATTGCACGTGGAGTGGGTGAAATTATTGAAAGTGTTACAGTTGGGAATGGTTTAATGTTGAAACAGGTGACTGTGTTAGATAAAAGGGTAAAGGTTGAAAGGGATGGCAGTGGGCATGTTTAGTTCCTTGTATGAAGGGAAAGGCAATAAGAATGAATGCAAAATTGGAGTAATAAGGTTATTAAATATACTATAAAGAGGGTGTGTGAAGTTATCAAAGTTTTATTGTATTGGAAAGAACTGGGTTCAAAACAGGGTGTGGATAGTGTTGGCATGAAGGAACATGTTTGAAAAGCACTCCTTATTATTGCCTGAAATAACTATACTGTACAGTACTCGATGACATATGGTGCAATCCTGATATTCAGTCTCTCCTTGACTTATGACAACTCGGACATACGACGCCCATGGTCGTATAAAATATTTTTCACATGTATTTTCGAGACCCGACGTTAGTGATCGTGCTGTGTACTGACAAAATTTCTTTGTAATTCCCTTTAAAATGGCTGGCAAGCATAAAAGTGAGAGTTCTCGTGGTGCTGAGTAGAAAAAGACACCCATTTTAGAATTTGTGTATTATTTTCGACTTACGGCCTGGTTGTTGAGACGGAACCCCGTTGTAAGTCAAGGAGAGACTACAAGTTTCACGGTCAAGATGTAATTGAAAGAAAATTTAACTGCACAGATTATGGAAATTGCATTCTGCACATTATTAGGTTTGCACTATGTTATGTCATTTTGAGTTCTGTACAGTTATTTCAGGCAGTAATATGTGAAAGCAGTTTACTCAATAGCTTTTACTCAAGTGATATTTCTACAACACGACACATTGGTGTTTTCTGCCCTATATAAATGGGGAACATCTATTTTAAGTCCACTGCACTGCCCAGTTTCACCCATAAAATATGAAACAATACTAATGAAAATATAATTAAATTTTTACTGTCACTAAATTATATAGCTACAATCAAAAGTCCTGTTGCCTCTCCTGCTGCACCCCAAACCCCCAAGATTGTCAAGTGAACACAAAACAGACAATGATGCAATGTTCTGTCTGGGATGCTTCAGGTTCACAAGTCTGAATCATGGCATTTGTGGAGCAGCAGGAGAGGTGACAAGGCCTTTGTAAGTATAATACAAAAGCTATTAACCCCCAAACTTGGTTTATGGAGGCTATCCATAGACCAGAAGTGACCTTTCCATAGGTAATCACTGAACACACACTACACATACTGTATCTACAATTACTTTACTGTATAGGTATGGGATTATTTGTCTGGCATGTTTAGGACCTGGGGTTGCCTTTTTTTTTTGCCACGCCTAATATGTACAGTAAACCCTCTTAACTGCCTGTAAAGACTGTACGGGTCACTAGATTCACCCCTAAAAGTAGCTTTAACTGTACACTTCAACAATAGAGCTTAAAATTTTAGGCATATAAACATCATTAATATAAATATAGATAGCACTAATGATAGCACGGAGAGGAAAGATTATACAAGTGTACAAATTGTCAGTTGTCCCTGGTGCTTGCCTGAGCAATGGTACTGCCACGGACACTCCCTCCTCAGTTTTATTGCAGAAGTACATAGATTCTTAAAACTTTGTAACTTAAGATAATCATTGGTTTTTATTTATATACAGGTAATTCGCGTTTGATTGAAGCATTTTTTTGGAATGGCGCAATTGTTCAATTAATACCAAAGGCTAATTTATGCGCACCTATTTTTGAAATAATGCGCTCAAGACAGTTTAAATTTGCTGTGCGTATTTGTCTGGCAGTGGAGTCGCATGTGATACCTGGTGAGAGGCGTGTAAGTTATTACTATAAAGTCGCAGTCATATCAACATCAAAGATTTTAAAATTATTAATATAATAATAATGTAATAATGAAGATTACTAATAATGATGGAAGATAATGATAATGAAGTATTCTGTCAACAACTGTGACGACGTCCAGCAAGCTTCCAGTGTATTGCTTTCTCGGTTCACACCAGCACTACTTTTTCTGTGCTCATTTGCAGTGTGTGTTTATCACGTACCTTTTTAGTGTTAAATGCTGTTTTCCCCTTTGAGTATGTCTGGAAAACGTCCATCTGCCTCCTCTGGGGCGCCTTAAGCTAAAAGGGCACAAAAAACAATCGCAATGGATTTGAAATTAAATGTGATCACCCACCTTCACAGAGGAAAGCGTGTGTCGGAGGTTGGCTGCATACTTGGTTTAAGTGAGAGCACTGTTCATTCCCTGTGCTGTATATGATGGTTCCCCTAACGTGTACCATTTACATGTATTTTTGTGGGAAAATTGTGTAATTTATGCATTTTTTAAATTAAGCAGTGGTTTTCAAGAACGTAACCCCCGCGTAAAACGAGAGGTGGGTGTACACAAATTTGTGTCAAAAAACTTGCATAACATTCACAGGTGGGGTATGGTTGAAAATATCCCCATTTAGCCTGGGAATTACTTGGTGTTAATTTTTAATGGGAATTAATGAAGGACTGGAACCTATTCCTATTTAAATCTAACAGGCAATATCATTTATTCCATTATATGGAATGATTACTGTACAGTAACTCTTGAATGGTTACTTGACCACTAGAGAAGAACTGCCTCAGTGAAACTTGCCATGGCTCTTTCATAGGCACAACCTTACAAGCTTAGATGATAGGTTAAACCCAATTTTCACATGAATGTGGCTTAAATGATTATGCAAAAGTGTACTGGTACTTGCAACCCGAATACCGTTTTACAGAATTTCACTTGGGTTCATGTCACTGGTGAAAATCATACCTTTGGTTTGATAATTTCAAAAGTCAATTAAGGTCTCTAGTATGATTTCCTTTCCTTACTTTACTTGTACTTTTGGTCAGCTGTTTACATGTACTGTAATTGCACACAAGTTACCAAAGGTGGTCAGACATCTGATATTTATTCATTGCTGATTGTCATTGACATTCATACAGTTAGAGCTTCTGATGCTAGTTTCCAAGAGTTGATACCCTGAGTGTTTTAAGGTATCTTAGTGAGGGAACATACACTATGTAAACATACCTCAGTAGGATTTCTCCTGAACCCAATCTTCAGTACATGAAGAAATACTACATATGTTCAGTTGTTATATGGTGTGTTTAATCACTACCAGGCAATCTACATATTAATTTTTTATACTGTACAAGGAAAGGTAATTGTTAGATGTTAATTTTAGTATTTTGTATGCATGCTCAGTGGCACGCAAAATACTTACCGTAAATTGCGGCATATTAGTTGACATTTTAAGCTTGGAAAAATCTCCCTAAAACCAGAGGTCGACTTATACGTCGGGTATAAAATGCGAAGCTTTACCACAGAGCGGTAAACAAGTGGAACAGCCTGCCTAACACTCGCTGTGCATCACTTAGCGTAACTCCCGTGGCCTGCTGCAAATATTTCCTACTGAAATTCATGTTTGGTAAACTTATTTAAGAGATTATAATAAAATAGTAAATTCCAGTATAATTAAACGAACACAACACCACACGCCATTTACAACAGCTGATGCAAGGTCCCATAGTTTTGCAGCTGGCCACTTGGTGTTGGTGGCACCACTGGCAGTTTGTTTACACCAGCTGATGCAAATGGCGGATCGTAAGCCAGGTTTACCGTAATGTTCTTCTATCACACCGTATATAGCGGTACTATCAAGATGCTATACTGGTATGCTGTGTAAACAATAAATATTTTATTGGTGGTACTGATTTTGGCTTGGTGTTTTACCAGAGTTCTTAGTAAGATAACTTATTGAAGATTTTTAGCGGTTGCTTCCTGTTGCCCACTTCCCTTTTTGTATGAACTATAATATATACCAGTATATCAAATATTGAAAGGTATTACAGTAAGTGTCTTGATGAAAGTTCTAGCCTAGCCTATGCTTGGGCCTTGGGGTGGTCGACTTGTATGGCGAATATAGGCATAAACCTGAATTTTTAACTAAAAATCTTGAGGTTGACATAAGCTGCAATTTATTGTACAGTAATTAAATGGCTTGCTGGAGAATTTTTTTGGTCCTCCCCTTAAAGACAAAATGTTGGTTATATGTTGGATAGTGGATTATTGAAGCTCAAATGTGAGGCTCACCTGTTGCATAAAAATATTTTTTTTTTTGCATATGCATATTTGCCCACATTGATAATTTTCATGGTATGTGTGTGTGCACATGGTTGATTACAGGCAGTTGTGAACTGTACCCGGTAGTGACTGCATTGTAAGATGACTGAAATTATGTCAATTTGTACAAATCTACCAAAGATAGTGTAGGTGTTACAGTAAACACACAGTACAGTAATGTATCAGAAAATTGTGTGAATAGTGGTGGGTTATGCAAACTAATGATTCCTTTGGAAGAGTTATGATGAAAATGCTTTGTACAACTACAGTATGTAGTTGATCATAGAAGCACCTGTAGACTTTGATGTTCATGTGCTCCTTTATCTTGGCTGCATCCTTCTTAATTGTCCTGATCGTAGACTCGTTAACACCATGCTGGCGCGCGAGATCAACCTGTCTTGTTCCTTTCTCCAACTCTTGTATGATCTTATACTTAATTTCGTAGCTTAAGGAACGTCGTGTCTTCTTTGGCTTAGGGCGGCTGGGTCCAGGTAAGGAAAGGTTTCTCTCTGGGGGTGGTGGTCCGGCGGAAGCCATTTTACAGAACAATGGATTCACGTATACACGGTGTGGCCTGGAGGGATAAAACTGCCGCGGCTAGGTCAAGCGTTGTCTTTCCTCCCTCCCTCCCGCGGGTGGACACGTCATATTGCTTTAAACCAATCACAGCTAGCAGCGGAGGGAGGTAAGGATGCATGGCCCAATTACAGTCCTATACGTCATATGACGTCACTGATAACGCAATAAAGACACACACTGCGCAACCTACTCGCACCGCTTACACAACATGGCGGGAGGTTTGGATCCAAAAATGGCGCGGCTCGTCAGCTGCTCTCCGTGTAAAGGGGTACACGCACCGCAGAAAGTGAGCATTCCGGTTTCGGCAGGGTACCGCGTAAAGCGAGGGTTGACTGTAGACCATACCACACTGCTATGCAGCCCATTTGCCTTGCACTTTTGCGCCTTTCGCAAAGAAAGTGACTAACAATGAATATACCATAACAGGTTGAACAAGCCCTTGAGGAGGATGATGAATGTATCAACCCGTCTGATTGCTAGCTTTGAAGGGGAGATAGCTTAATCGTAGAACCTCAGCCGAGATGTGCTATTTTATATACAGTGCTGTATGTGTGTGTGTGTGTGTGTGTGTGTATATATATATATATATATATATATATATATATATATATATATATATATATATATATATATATATATATATATATATATATATATATATATATATCTATCACTTAATTTGCATATTTTGAATATTAAAAAATTTGGGTCTCATTTATTTGTAAATCCTACGCAAATTGCTCAAGGGTGCCAGGGTAGCAAGATTCTTGTTCAGCCCCTTTCAAATATATAAAAACTGCAAAGCAAAAACTAGGACCCTGTTGCAAGGTTCACCTCAAAATTATCATTTCATTGTACATGAAAAAACTCTCAAAACAATTTTAAAGTATTTTCTTATTTTTCCTTAACCCCGAGATACTTTTTAAATGCCTAAATTTCGAGTTGACAATAATTCCAGCTAAGTGTACGTTAATTCTACATGAATAAATTCTCAACACTTGTAGTTGTGCATGATAAGGAATTTAATACTCCTGGGGCTAACAGATTTTCCAGTGCTGGATTTTGCATGATGCTTTTAATGTGTATTTCCCATACAATGCACAGTTTTGTGAAGTAGAGCTTTATGGAACATAATGAACTTCAACTTGGGGCTTACACCAGAATATCTTAGTTTGAGCTAAGTGGAGTGATTTAAAGTGCAAGCCATTTTGTTAGATAGTTCAGTATGAATTCTTTTTGCAATACATTTCTGAATTTCCCAGCTTTTGTAGTATTATGCAGTCCCTCTGGAAGAGTAACTCCAAAAAATGCAGTTGATGTGGATTTTATATTGCTGGAGAATTGTTAAATTCAGTTCATGCATGCTTAAGCTGACTTGTTTTCTCAGAGATCTACATGTTAGACATTTCATTAGCTTTTTAGGTGGTATTGGCTGTTTGCTCAATGCATGTCCCAGTTGGTTATCATCTGCTGAAGGTATGGCACCAACTTCTACATCAGGTATTTTATTTTAGAATGAGCTTGACGTTTGTCATTTTGAAAACCTATTAATGGTGATCCTGTGGGAGAAATTAATGCAAATAATCACTTAAGTTTGAAATGGAAATTTCCTTTTGAGATTTACTCAATCTATCAATAAATTGTCTTGAAATAAAGCAAAATTTCTCTCAAATTCCAATTACCTGGAGCTATAGCGTAATGTACTTCCGCAGGGGTCGCCTTTTGCTCATGACCGTGATGTTCCCCTGCAGGGGTCGCCCTATGCAGCAGATCGTCGTCGTGGCTACCGCCGCAGATACTACCGTCGTGCTCTACCAGGCGATGAGGGAGAGATGGAGGAGGAGGGAGGAGATTTTGCACCACCAATGAGGGGTCGTGGCCGTGGAGGATTCCGTGGCCGTGGACCCCGTAGGTTCTACCGTGGCCGCTTCTTCGGGCGTGGACGCGGGCGCGGGGCAGGACGTGGTGGCTATTATCAAGGTTATAATGAGTATGAGGGAGGGGACGTGAATGAAGGTGAGGGCATGCAAATTAGGGGACGTGGAAGAGGCCGTGGACGTGGCAGGGGTAGGGGCGGACGTGGCCCACGCGGTTACTTCCGTCGCTACTATGGTGGTCCTCGTCCCCAGTATGGAGAAATGATGGCCAATCCAGAGGAGGTGCCTCGTCGTAGATTCCGCCGTGGAGGCCGTGGACGTGGGCGTGGCGGCCGATACAACGGAACCCCTGAAACGAGGGTAAGTGACCTTCTGAATTTGGAGCAATATCTGGGATGAGAGTTAGAAAGAAGAAATATTCCTCCACTTGTAATAAGTTTCGGTACGCTATATCTTTTGCATTACACGTGGAGTTGTAGGATAGGTACATATTTAGAATGTGGATGGAAGATCTCTCCTTTCTTCAGGCAGATGTAGCTGCACTTCCCACACTCACTGTGTAGATTATGTAGATATTAACACTAGCATGTTATATCTGGAGTCCATCCCTTAGACTAAAGCATGTCCTCATACTGCATGTTTGCCTTACAGACATCGGAAACGCAGACACAGGTAGCAGCTGAGGGACAGAAGGCAAGTTTATCCTTCAACCTTTCCCTTACAGCTGGGCTGCCAGGTTGCATGGCTAGCCAGTGCAGAGTTATTGGTGCCCCCTAAACACCTTACTGTTTTATTTTATTTATTTATTATACCTTATGTGCCTTTGAATTATGTAACCTGTGTTTGGTGTTCCAGCTTTTGAAAAATTTATATATCAGTATATGAATTGGTTTCCAGAATGGTTCTATTTTGATTTGGTACAGGACTTCCAGAATCATTCAAGAAAATGTCTATTGTAATATAACCTGGGTGGAGGCTACAGTTCTTCAATGCACACAATTTTTTTTGTACATTGCCTGTTTTCTTTGCTAGTTTACTATTTTAAAACTTTTCAGTCATGTTGAGAAATGTGTATCATTGACCTTGAATAATGTGAAATCTGGTAAAACTTTAATCTTACACATTTCTATTGACAATGTAGTTTATATGGTAAAAATGTAATTTATTATTTATTGCTTGTGTGGATGCAGTGTGAAGAATGTGCTTCTTTAATGTAAGCTAAACGAACTTGGTACACAAGCTTGTGTGATTTTGTTGCTCGCAAAATTAATCTTGTTTGACCAATTATTGTTGCACCAGAGCCATTTTATTGTCGAGCTACTGTCGTAATTAAACATGGACATACATGTTTATTCCAAGCACAAATATATAATGTACACCAATGCATTTGGTATTTTCAAGAGTGGTTACCCTGAAGATGATGCAGCATATTCATCACTCAAATATCAGTGCTTGTATTAAGATGTTGAAATGTTTTTGTTTTTTTTTGGCATGCTTTTAATTCTAACAACTGAAGCCCTTGGCAAAAGAAAATTCAAGTTCTAGTTCAATCTTTATGACCACCTTGAAATGCCAATAATCCCAACAAGTCGATTAATAACATGATCTTGATGCCTTGACCCAGTTGATTATTCCATGAAGCATCTTATTTCAGTGTTTAAAGTATTTTGCAAGACTTGACATATGCCATGACAAAATGTAAAAAAAAAAATTTAATGCAACACCAATTTTTATGCTTAATTTTTCAAAGGTGTACCTATAGGTTGCTTTAATCTGCAAATCTTCCAGATAAATACTGTATTAGCCAACTTTTTTTGTCAAGAGCTGGAACACTGGACTTCAAATCTTTCAAAATCTTTGCTTGCAAGTTTGTAATGCTTTGCTGTTTGGGGTAATATTGCTTATTAGAAAGATGCTTTTGCATGTGCTTTTCAGCCTGAAGCGTCAGCAGAACCAACAAACGAAATTGCTGAGGTTGAGGAAGAGCAGCATGAGGCTCAGACTGAAGTGGTGGTAAGCTTAGGCTTTCCTGGCTTCATAACCGAGTCCTTGAGTAGTGTGCAAGTTGTGCTGCAAGTTGTGCTAGTTTAAACCCTCCTTGTATTAGAAGTTATCAACCCAAAGGAAAAAAAATACTTGAGCCTCCCACAAGGCATAAGCTGGGTACCATTTCTAAACTTGTCCCTAGCCAGAAGCATTGCTTTCAGGCGTGATTTAGCAAAAGCTTTCCACAGCCTTGATTTTGGTCATCTTAAACAAGAGGCATTTCGAGTTACAAGAATACAACACACAGGACATTGGAATAACAAACTACCATTGCTATAAACTTTCTAGCAATGGAAGTGCTTTATAGTAAAAACACTCCACATGTAGCACCATTGCTATATAGTACTTTCTTGTGTAGTGATGTCTGAAATTCACCATTCTCACTGATTTGGAAAATTATGGTAGATCCGATATCTAGTAATGAAAACTTGCTTGAATCGTAATACAGTACAGTATTCTGAATTTGAAGAAATATTTATAAACTGCCTTTTTCAACTGAATTCATAATCATTTTGAATGTTGATCATGCTATTTGTAATTGAACTTCAAACTTTTATGGTAGTCAAAAGAAAAACTACAATCAACACTATTGTGCACATAATTGTCCATTTGTACTATTGTCAATGGCTTTAATATGGTAGTTAGATTTAAAAATTTAGTTCCTTGTTTGCTATGAATTCTTGTTTGTGTATGTGCCTGCATGCGACTCCCACTTAAACCTACAGTAGTTTGATCCCCAACCAGCATTGCTCTTCTGATATTACTGTGCAAACACTTGTCTTCAAACGCTCCATCATACTTTGAGATACATGTGATAGTTTTATTTAGTGCACTGACATTGAATTATCTGCAAGTGTGAAATGCAGACCACTATATTTTCACTGAATTAATAGTGATTTTTCAGATGGGAGTAACTAGTTCAACAAGTGTTGGGTGTTCACCTAATTCTGGGTCAGACAGCTTTAGCTCCTATTTTCCCAAATTCTAGGGGGTTTATGGTCTGTCCAAATACTGTTACTGAATAACAGTGTGTAACAAGACAAGTACACAAGGCACCTTCATTGCACATTGCAATTTGGCATCAAAGGATATGTTTGTGTGCTAGGGTGGTTCACTTCTACCCCATCTAAATCACATAAGGCAGGTTGAGGCCATAGTCACCCCTTATCCATATGATTTAGGAAGAGGGTTTTTAACATGCTTTTCTGTGGTCATAGTTGTTCGTAAGTACCTTACTTCAGTCACGGATGAAGTCTTTGTTTTCTTGAGGTTTGACAAAGGATTGATCTTTGGCCTCTACTGATCATTTATGCTTTACACAAATTGAAGAACTGTTTTGCATAGAGGTAGATAAAAGCTTTTTAGGCTCGCATAAATAATGGAGACCAATTACATAGAGGTGCATGAGTAAATGTGGAGGTAAGGGGAGCTAGTACAGTATATATATGACATGGAGGTTGTAAGAAATGAAATGAGTTAAAAACCTGATGAAAGCTGCAAGAGACCACAACACGAGAACTGCCATCAGGTAATCCTGGTTAACCCAGTCAAGGGTGGAAAGTCTGTTGATGAATAATATTGTTTTCAGTGGCTGGGTGTGTCATTTAGAACTTTGAATTTATTTGATCACTAACCACTATGGTGCAGTATAGGTGGAACCATGATTATTCTACATGCTCCATGGCTTCAGTTCTGAATCGTACCAAGAGGATTAAGGGTTTATACTTGTAGCTATAATTTTCAACATCTGAGGTTTCCAGATTGAGTGTTTAACACTCATGGCCTTTCATTTTATTTGTCAATAAATGCTTCATTTATTATCCCTTGCTGTTGTTAGTTTGTCTGGTCAAGTAAACCATGAACCCTGGCAGGTTGTGCTGGTTTGGGTATACAGTACTGTACTCAGTCACCAAACCCATTTGCTGTGAACAAGATCCGCTAGCAAACTTAGAAACTCTGTGCCCCAACCTTGGCTCTGTTTCTGGTCATACAGCTCCTATGCATGATTTTAATGTGTATAGATCGTGCTGTTATTGCTTTCCGAGCTTCTGTGCTTTTTCAGGTTGAACAAATTTGAGTTTAAGAACTAGAAAATGATAAATTAGAGGAACGCTTTTATTTATTTATACATTTATATATTTTATTTTTTCTCTCCAATTACATTATGGCCAGAAGAAACATACAGTATAAGCATCATAATGAGGTTACAGAGTAGGATAATTGTTCTTTGTAATGTGAATGTTTTACAATAAAATTACTGCTGTATTAACAGGTTTGGTGGGGTGTGCATTCACTATGGTTTTATATAGCTGAAATAGGGTTTAAGATGCAAAGGTGTCAAAGTTAGCAGTATTGTGGCCAACTATTGATTGTTCTTGCCCTGTCCATCCCAGATTCAAGTACAGGTGGTGACTTCAGATATGAATACCAATCTACATTTGCCATTCTGTATGCCTAATAACAGACAGTACAGTGGTGTGACTTAGGGTAATCATGTTTGGAAAGTCAGCATTGAATAGGTTGTTGGTGTTTGTCCAATTTATAAACTTGAGAATAGTTGGGGATAGTCTGTGATGGGTCATGCTAACAACCCGTCAATATTTTTAATAAATATTAGGGGGGGGGGACTTTAGCTGATAGAAAATTAAGGTTTTGTATATTCAGATCCAACTTTTATTTTACAGCTTTATGAAATGCATCTCATAGTTTTGCGAGTATTAAAGTATAAAACCTCTTATAATATTCAAATTACAGTAATTAAATTCTATTGTATTTTTGTCTAGTTCAATTGGATTAATTTCAATGCAATTCAAATACAAAATCATGGCTAACCTGGGGGGGGGGGTTAATACCCTATATTCAAATACCAGAAGTGACTATGTAGGACTAAGGGAAATTTATTCTTTTGGTAAGTAAAAATGTGTTGACCATTATTCTGTGCATGAATAAAGGGTTGATAACTTTATGCTGAGGAGGCGAAAGGAGAGATCAAGAAAAGACTCATATGAAAGTCTAGAGCAGGTTGCTCTGTGTTTTTAAATGTTCTTGAATATAGGGAAGCTATAAAGATGAATGGGAAATTTATTACTGTCCTGAAACCTATGGGAGGGTGGTGATAGTTATTTCCGTACCTTTCAATCAACGTTTCTTTGCCTTCCATATTGGACAAATTAGGCATTGAAACCATTGCAAAGAAGAAATACCTGTACTATGAAAACCATAAACATTATGTAGTGTATCTAAAGTGGAGGTTTTAAGTGAATTTGATCAAGTACATTATCTGGTTACATATTTGATATCCCGGTGAATTTAATGTTTGTTGCAACTGTTACAAAACCATGTTGGTGTCTTAAAACCTTGGTTATTTGAGTAATAGCCTCTAGAGACGTACAATAGACTATGAATGCCACTTCTCAGTGGACTAGGAATACCGTGTATAACAATTTCATCAAAACGGGCAGTGCTGGGTTACAGATGTAATGTTGAAAAAAAATAAAAAAAAATTTGTAACTATTATTTTTCTCTATGAATGCATTTTTTCTAAATACAGTCTATAAAAATAATAATGGTTGCCCCTTGTGTTCAAGGATGGCTGGCCCATGGGCCACCTAGGCGTGAATTTTTTTAAGGTCTAGAAGCTGTTGCCAACACCACGCCTTAAGTTATTGAGTTGCATGACCTTGTGTCAAGGAATAATCCGAGAAGACTGGACAACTCGTCAACTGCACTGGCTAACCATTACCCCAGAACACTCAACAAATTGGTTAATATCAAGGTGACCAATTACTACTGGGTAAAAAGGCATGGCGTAAAGACACTTGCCCATAGTTTCACCCTACCCAGGAATCGAACCTTGAATATAGGTGTGCGAACAAGTGGTAGGACCATAGCTGACAGATTGTGATGTTTTCATTTGAGGTAAAGGTTCATACATTTTGTTAATGATTATCAATACTATCACAATTTTGTTTGAATTATTGGGAAGAGGTAAGGGGATAGAATGGCTTGGAAACACTTAAGTTCAGGGGGTTGGGAATTTTTTTTTCTCCTCCTTTTCTTTGTATACATTAATGGTCATGCTGTTGATGCTTCACTGGCTTGTATGAAAACAGAAACCAGATGTGGGGCTTTCTGGAGAGGCAGTCCTTAAGCAGAACAATCTTTCACAACTTTAAGAATAAATGAAGGGAAATTTGTATAGGATAGTTTTTGTTTTTAATGCTTTGTTGAAAGCCTTTTGGAAATGGCACCCTGATTTGGAGGCTTTGATAAATGGTAATATGAACGATTGTTTGGTATTTCTTGATTTATTAACATGATACGCTCAAACTAAACGTTCTGTGTACTTCTCCCATTATAATCCATAATGTGTTTGGCAAATGTCTGAGCTGGTGACAGTTCTGTGTGTATATATATATATATATATATATATATATATATATATATATATATATGCAAGTAAATCACTGCGCTTGTAATTCACATCTTCAGGGGTGAGTACAGATTACACGTAACTATCAGCATATATATATATATATTTATATATATATATATATATATATATATATATATATATATATATATATATATATATATATATATATATATATATATATATATATATATATATATATATATATATATATATATATATATACACACACACACACAATCGTATATACAGGTAGTTCTGCTATAACGCGATAATTGTGTTCTTGTAAAATATCGTGTTATAGAAAATCGCGTAATAGAAATAACAGGGCTTATGGAGAAAATAGGGTTAGGTGCAGATTACTCAAAAT